CGGGTAATTTATTAGTATGGGATCCAAATATAATTGATCAACAATTATTCAAGTAAAAATAAACATATTTAATAGTAAAAAGAGACTATAAATTTATTTTCTATGTTATCTGTTTAGAGAAAATAAAGAAGATTATATTCGTAGTACAATGAGAGACAATATGCAATTATTTGTTAATGCATTATGGAAGGTATAAAATTGAATGTATAATAATAAATGTAAGAATATTTATCCTATAGTGTCTATATATATCTTATTCTAGTTGCCGATAGAACGTAAAGATGATGTTATTGTGGCTAAAGTATGTTTAATGCGTAAAGAAAAATATTGTTTTGTGATATAAGAGATTTCTTTGTTTGTTTAGTTACCAGAAGCAAAAACAAATGTACCAAGAGCAAAACCAGTATGTTTAAATAGTTGTCTTTTTATTTTTAAATATTATTTATACATTTTGATTTAGCTTCCAAAACCAAAACCATTAACAAAATGGCAAAAATTTGCACAAAGTAAAGGAATTGTTAAACATAAAAAGGATAAATTTGAATGGGATGAAGCTAATAAAGTATGTTTAACAAAATTGTAAGAATAAATCGGAAATAAAGTGTCGTGTTATTGATGATTTAGGAATGGAGAAGACGATATGGATATAAAAAAGCAAATGATGATTCAAAAGATTGGGTTATTGAATTACCAGGAAATGCTGGTAAGTTTAATGTCTGCTTATGCCTGTAGAACGTTCTAGCATGTTTTGTATCTCTGAACGTAATTGTGGAGCAAAAAATTCTTTTTTCGTCCTTCTCAATGTATCACAGAACTTCGGTTGTCTTCCTTAGATCTGACATATTATGTCATAAGCAATAAAAAAAAAATCTGCTCTTCTTATGTGTTTATTTATAGTAACAAATATATATCTAATTAAGCTTCATGATTGAGAGACCACATTTTTAACATGATTATTAATTCGATTTAAAAAGTTTCAATTTGACGAAGTGAAAATGCTTTTTTATCATTCTCTTTAAATTTTCTCAGTTCAAAGTGAAAATTTATTAATAGTAAAAAGCAATCTCAGTTTAAAATAGAAAAATTCTCACATTTCTTATAGAAATAATGTGTGATCTCTTAATCAGGTTAATGTGTGATCTCTTAATCCCATGTCCTCTTCTGGATATGTTTTATCGGATGGTATTATTGTAATTAGAGTACCGTGCGTTATCGCTACATGTTTCACCTAAACAATTGTTCGATTTATTTTCTGATGTTGTTAAAATATAAACAGATAAACAAATAAAAGAAAAAGGAATTTTTTATGCTAGTTTTAAAGTACTTTTTAAGTCTAATTAATAAACATGTTAAAAAACGTGGTTTCAATGAGAAAAGGAGCCATGTTTGTTCGTCCAATTCATCAAGATATCTATTCTTCACTCTATTAGTTAAGTCAAACTAATTCTTTTTGATTATGTTGTCATTAATTACTTACGAGAAGCAGCCGTGACAATTATGACTGTTTCTCTCAAATATTGTTTATTTCATTTACTAACTCTAACATCGTTCAATCATTAACTACACTCTTATGTTTTCATAATGCATATTGTTAGAGTACTACCAACAAGTTTAACTATTCTTCTGTCTATTTTAGATCCGAATGAAGATCAATTTACAAAACGTAAAAATGAGAAGAAAGAACGAGTAGCAAAAAATGAATTTCAACGATTAAAAAATATAGGTCATGCTCAAAAAATCAACGGTAAGATTTAAAACATAAGTAAACAACTTTCATGTTCTACTAAATAACCATTATGACCGTAAATTATTAAGAGTTTATGATTGGATCGTTTAAGTTCAATTATTTTTTGTTGATTATTTTGATGATGATAATGATGTCTTGGTTGTAAACTAACGAGCTTTAATACATTGTAATTATCTTCAATATTGTTAGTTGTTAACGTCTCAAATGATGCTTCTTGTTGATCTGGCGCTTGAAGAGGAATAATAATCAATTTAGTTAATTGACAAAAGCCAATATGTTTTATTAAATATTCTATAAAAATATAGAGAAAAAATCAAGTTCTTAATTGAAGTTTCAATTTTTACAGTGGAATTCTGGCAGACGAAAACTGTTTCTTATTATTCTACATAAATTTGTGGTCAGTTTCATTAGAAACTCGAAAATTTCCAGAAATTGCTCTCCTTCTCAGGAATTCTCAATATAGAATTGTGAGGGAGAACAAAGATTAATGAAAAGAAAATCAGTAGAAGCGTGGCATGGAAGAGAATAGATTTGCACCAGTTATATAACTGATGTTAAGACATCCAGGAAAAATTGTTCTAACGCGGTTATTAAGAATCGCTCAGACTTGTGAAAACGTCTCGTTTTGTAGACAAATGTTTGTTCTATTTATCGGTTAAAACAAAAAATGTTTAAGTTACTTGTGACAAAAATATAAGCATTCTTAAATGCTATAAATGTATGTGCTAACTGGTCATCAGTTATATAACTGTTTGTGTCTCTTCAGTAATTCGTTAAAAACGGTTATCTCTTTCAACGTTCAGTTTTATCTGTCATACAAATACATTGAACAAACATTTGTCTACAAAATGAGACGTTCCGCAAGTCTGCACGATTTTTAATAAATGCGTTATGACAATTTTCCTGGATGCCCCAAAAAACAATCGGAAATGACTGGTCCGTAAGTGGTACATACGTAGAAGAGAACTGGCAGTAGCAACATGAGAGTGAGCTCCATTCCATAATTGCTATAGTGTAAGTGAAAGAGCAACTGTCACTATATTAAGATTTCTTAAACTTCAGATTTATGAAAACGTTTTTGTTGAGTTACAATGTGAACTTCACAGTGCAATAGTGTCGTTTATATCCGGTATCTCTCTAAATTTGTCTTACTGGATAATTTCTTGCAGTTCAGAGATATTGCGAAATTCTTATGGTTATTGGAAATTGTACGTAAATTCTCGTGCACTTCAATTTACAGTACATAAGATTTTAAATACAATCATACCTAATAAAATATTTAATAATTGTTTTGATGCACTACGTCGAATTATAATCAAATTTTCTAATGTTGATTTTTTTGATAATGTATCAATAAATTGTTTCCATAAATCTATCGATTGTGATGAAGAATTAAAGAATGATAAATATGTATTAATTAAACTTAATTCTATCAATGGATTTTTATTAATTATTTCAATAAAATCGTGTGCATATTTTTTTGTTTCAAAATATATTGATTCAAATGATAAATGAGTTAAATTTGTTTTTGTTAATAGACTTGAAAATAAAATGGATTCAAATAAATTAGATGAAGATGTTTCTAAACAATATATATGACTTAATTTAATTTTAGAAAGTGTTGGTAATAAAAGTAATTGTTCAAATAATTTCAGATCATCATTATTTAAATGAAAATTAATCAATTTAATCGATTCTAATTGAGATAGAGTACTGTATTGTTGATAAAATGAATATAAATAATCATTTATTTTTGTTGTTGATAAAGTGGAATATGAGAAATACTCATTGCACCATTGATTTGTATCTAAAAGTTATATGGAACGATTTGAGAACTATATAAGAAAATAACTATCTCATCTTGCGACTTCTGTTACCGATTTAGAGTGCTGACAAGTGTCTGTTTCAATAACTCGATATTTTCACTACAGCTGCCAAACTTCGATGCATGAAGTTGCATGAAGAAAAATGCATGAAGTTTTAAAAGAATTAGTTCAGAATGTAATGATAATTTGACATCTTTAGCCGAAGAACAAAAGCTTTTAGCTGGAAACAACCGAAAAGGAGAAAATTTATAGGCATAAGTCGGACACAGGTAGAGTAGTTACGGGTACGAATGAAAAAAATTTTTTTAGATCGAATACGTTACCCGTGCACAATCTCTACACAGCACAGCATATTTGAAGTACACAACGAACAACATAATCACATGAATTAATTTTATAATACTGATTTTTTTCGATAGTTACCTTGATCTCTAACAGTTTGTACATAATCTAGTTTCATCTGTGAATAATAATTTTTCATTTGTATCAAATGCCAAAAATCGCAAATATACGTTTGTCTTCATTCAACAGTGATTCAAAAAGTGTGTATGACTTCCGGATTTTTTAAACAGGATAATGGTCATAATGTACAGTCCTATGTCGACCTACCCATAATCATTTTGTATTAATTTTACTATCGATAAGAGACTTTGTTTACCAATAATAGATATTTTTTTTAAATTTTTATTAATTATTATTTGTTTAATGAACATTAATCCAATTATATTTTCATTCAAATTTTTTTCAATTAATAATTCTAAAATATTTGGTCTAAAATAATTTATTTGATTTTTATATTTTAATAAATCAATCCATCTTGAACATTCTAACATATCAAAATATAATTCATTAATATAACTAAACCATAAAGTATTTTCAATCTGATCAATAATAAGTTTTAATGATAAATTATTACAATAATAAATATGATTAGAATATTGTTTTAATACATATCGAATTTGTTTTAATTTTCGATTTAAAAATTTTAATGGTATAACAAGAACATTTAATTCTCGTTTTAAACCATCATCACCAATAATTTCAACAATTAAATCTCGTTCATAAAATTTATGACAATAAAAATGAACAGTAAAATAATAATATTTCTCAGGACATAATAAACAATTTAAATTTTCATTTACTAAAATATATATATACATTAAATATTTTAATGTAAAATATATTTATTTATACAATATTTTTCTTACCAATTTCATTATTTCTATTTGAACAATTTGATTTATCTACTATTAAATTTGTTATACAACATTGTTCTGCTTCAAATGTTGGTATATTAAAATAATCTCGTGCTAGAAAATAATCAATTTCATTTAACCAATAGGTATTTTGTAATGTTAAACGACATAAATGTAAACGCCAATAATTTCGTGTATCAATATTAGGAAATAAACGATCAAAACTTTCTAAATCATAAGCACTTAAATTTAATAAAAATTCTCCTAATAAACGTTTTGGTATTCTATCAATTAATTGACTAATATATATTTTTAATTGTTGATATTCTTTATTTGTCATAGAAAAGGATAGACTAGTCAATTTAAAATCGATTATAGAAATTTTTAAAAATATTTTTGATAAATATTGAAATAAAATTAGTTTTAATTTTAATACATTTAATTTATAAATATTGGTATCATTATCATTTGGATTAATTTCAGACATTGAACAATAATTAATAAGACATATGAGATTTGTACAATAAACAAAAGAGTAAGAATGACAAAATAAATAGAAATAATTTACAAATAAGAAAAATGAAACAAAATAGACTGATAACTTCATTTTGATCATGTTACTAGGGACTACTACTACTACTACATACCCAAAAGAAACAGCTTGAGTCTCTATGTCGTTTTCAGAATATCTATTAAATTTTATTAATATAGATAACTGACGATATTTTTTCTAATAAATGATCGTTATTGATTTATTTTAGTTCGAAATGATGGTGTTATGATTAATAAAAAACCCACAACAGTTCAGGTACGTGTTTCATTCACATTAATAAATTTATAGCTAAATTATTGATCTTTCTCTATATAGATGAAAAAAGCATTGGCAACAGCAAAGTATTCTGATGCTAGTATGGGTCAATATTCAGAGAAAGCAGCAAAAGATGAAGAAAAAACAGACACATGGTTTCAATAAACGAAAAAGATATGAATCAAATTTGGGAGATTTGAAACGTGAAAAAGAAAAACAATTGAAATTATTCGAACAATTAACATCGAAAAGTTGATCCATGGCAGTCAGTTATTTGTTGTTGTTGTTTTCGCTCGTTATAAATAAAGTTTAAACACAATGTGTGAACATCTACTTTAATGAGTGATGGATCTAGATAAAAATTCTGGTGGTG